CTACATATAAAACAAAAAGCAATAACAAAATGCAGAATATGCAAAATAAACACATTTCTACTATGATTGGTTCAGAATGTGACCAACCCAGTTCCAGCAGCAAGCCACCAAGAATTCAACTCAGCTTTGCTTTTCTTGATGCAGTGTAAATTTTGAGCGTGTCTACTTACCTTGAACAGCTGCACTCCAATACAAGCAAACATGAACTGCAGCAGAGTTGTAACAATCATGATATTACCAATAGTTCTAATAGCCACAAAGACACATTGAACAACGTGCTGGAAAGAAAGAAAGAAAAAAATTTAATACTTGTTACTTAGTATCACAGAATACATACCATAAAAGTCTGTTTTATCACATTCAGATTATTTTTTAAAACTACTATTTTTGTATTGTCAGTATTATACATACTACCATAATTCAACTTGTTTTCTAAATTTGTCTATAAGTCTGTTGATATAGACTCACCAACATCAACTGACTAAAAATTACATAAGCATTATGGAAAAACAATTAAAATATTGCTCTGGCATGTTGGTTCACAGCAAGTTTTATGGTCAAAGTCTGCTCTCCATGGCATTGGTGTTCCTCCACATATAAACTGCTGTAACTGTGGGTAAAACCTGCCCTAATATATTTAAGAATCAGGAACTGATTTACGTCCTTGCCCTGTGAACTCCTCTATGCAATTTTGCTTGCGCAAGAATTTTTAACCTGCGGCAGGACTGAAGAATCAGGCCAACAGAAATATAACTTAAAAAATAAAAATAAACACCTTAAGTCCTTTTGCTCTGTTTATTGCCCTTAGAGGCCTCAAGACTCTTAAAACTCTGAGGATCTTCACAACTGAGATAGCACTTGATCTAGAGGGAAAAAGAAGTTATTCTGTTACTTTTAAGGTAACCGATTTTATCACTAAGAATAACAATGTTCTTGCAACTTCCTTATAAATGAAATTTCAAAAAAGTCTCAGGATATATATACAAGATTTTTTGAAGTATTTCTTTACTGAGTCTTTATTAATATTAGAAAATAGTATCACTCTCATAAGTACCGTAAGAATTATTTTGATTTCTGGAGCAACTTGGGAATTAACAGCTCAGAAGCTTGTCTGACACTGTAATGCAGTTAAGTTTGGTCAGGAGCAAAATAGTCCCCAAAGTATTTTTCAATATGGACAAGCTCTTTCAAAGACACTGTGTAAGTCCTGTAAATCAATGAATACCTTAATTTCCAACCAGCTGGAGACAAAAAGATCTCAAATGACTCACATTCTCTTTGTTTAAGTAGCTAGGACTGCATCTTGAAGAAATAATAGCAGACAGCCTTTTAAAGAACATATTGTGAAACTGAAAGCTTGTGCAATAGGTATTCTAGCACAAGCAGAATACAAAGTGGGAAGCAGTTGACTGACACCCAGCCCTTGCTCTTTTCTAAGTCACTAAGGGTTTCACAGATGATTTTAAATGAGGCACAGCTGCTTAGTGAATCAATAAGCACCTTCAGGCTCTTCTATTATGTTTAGCCTGATCCAAACAAAGCACAAAAATCTCTTCACTACCACTTACAGTCCTGATTGAGGCAAAACTTCTCTCCCCTTCAAATACCGTTAAGTTACATATCCCAGTAGATCAATGCTGAATAAGCAAGCTCATAGAATTAGATTGTAGATGTGGCAATAGTACAAAAGCGGGTATATAAACTTCCTGAAGCTCCAGGAATTAGTTGCTACACAATGCAGTGTCATGGTGTTCTTTCTTGTTCTCTTGGTAATAGTGGGAAGTAGCAATTTGTTTCCAACCCATGAGAGTAGTGAGTTACAACACTCTCAACATACAGCACTACCTCTTGCCAGTCCCAACTCTGAATACTGATACTGCACACCCACACACAATGGGGGAACAAAAGGAGCTGAAACACTTATTTCAGTATAAAACCCCAAAGCAAAAATAAATCATTCACATTATAAGTGTAGTACTTACTGAATACCAAATGATACCAGAGAAACACCCACAACCAGCAAATCCAGCAAATTAAAATAATTCCTGCAGAAGGACCCTTTATGAAGGAATGCTCCAAAAGCTGTCATCTAAAAATAGAATTGTTACACATTTAGTCTATATTTCAATTTATTCAAATTCACATTTAGGCTGTTTACAAGACAATTGCCTAGAGTGTGAATGCATACAATATTATCTCACTTTCTAAAAGCAATTGAGATATAAAACAATCCCACTAGGTACATTAAATCTTTCATTTAAATCATAAAAATTCTGCTCAAGCAACACCAGCAAATGTGTTAATTGTTTCTGATGTCAACAAATGTTCTATTTTGTGTAAGAACTGATTAGGCCGAGGTGATTACACTGCATTGATATGGCCTTTGTTAGAAAATGAAGAAGAAAAGAAACATAATATTTCCATGCTTACTAAACTGTAAGGTCCAGATTCTGACTCCTAATCATTCATACTATTTTGAGAATTCAAGGAGCTGAAAATGTATTGTAAAAACCTGAGAGTCGAATCTGGTACAGAGCTAGCACAAGGCTGTCATAAGGCAGCATTACACTGCTATTTGCCTTTGGCTCACAGGAGACATGTTAAGACCATGAGTGGGTATCTTGGAACAACCTGGAACAACTCACAGACTGTTTTGTATTATGTGTGGACAAGGGTCCCCAAGTTTTGCTGGTCTGTGGGGGGTATCAAACATTGCTCTCCCTATTGGACTTTCTCTTCATTTTTTGCTTTCTGTGCCTAGATTAAGAAGAAAGAAGCACACAAAGGATATCTTGTGAAGGAACCTGCATGCATCATTTGCAGGTTTCATGACGAGCCAGTGACAGAGGCTCTATTAATTATGGCTGCAGACAGAATATGGGCAGATGTTCTCAGGTATCGCAAAGCTGAATTTGGTTCCTAAATCTATGAGTTAGACCGTTACCATAACTGCAAGTAAGTACCAGTTAAAAAATGCACAGAGGAATCCAGTGAAGCCATTAGAAGCACATAACCTGCACTAGAGTAGAATTTTGCATGGGTTTTCCCATAGTTATGGATTAAGACCGAAACACTGAAACTAAAAACTTGAAATTAAAACAAGGATACCTTTGAAAAATACCTAGTAGTCAGTTCAGGTACATGGATTCTAATTTCTTCAGCCTTAAGGTCCTCTTAAAATAGACCTGAGTACTCTCAGCTACTCATTGTTTTCCACAGGGAAGAAAACTCAATGCCAGCCAGAAAACATCTGGTATTGACTGTGCATTTTAAACCCATTACTTTCTATTCTGTTCTGTTCCTCAAGATGGAGTGAAAAGATTTTATTTCCTGTCCTCTTGCAGTAGACTATTACATCTTTCAAGACTGTTCCACAATGTAGAACAGAGCTACTGTCAATGGACATCTCAGTCCACTGTGTCACTACTCGTGTGCACAAACTTGCAGGTCTTTTGCATGAAAAACCATCAGCGTCAGTGAAAGCTATATATCTGCCAAGGAATGCAAACTACAAAAGATACATTTTTCTTGGAAGCCTTTCTCTCCTTATTCTCATGTTAAACTTGCTTTTGTCATGGTCAAAATACTAAATGTTCCTCAAAACTAGAAGAATAAAAATCCTAAAGTTTTAACCTATGCCATGACATGAGAGAGGTAATATATTATAAAATTTCCAATAAATTCCTAGTTCTTTTCACTTACAGCTGTACAGATTATGGCTAAATTCATTAAACTTAGTGGGAGTTGAACACTAAACTAACCTCGAATATCAAACCTACAGCTATCTATCGTTTACACTGTAGTATGTTGTCAGTTAGCAGCACACAAAGTTTCATGTAAAGACTCCCACAAAAGTAAAGATACATTGACCTAAAAATACAGGTGAAGTACGTATCTCCCCATCTTTATATGGAGACTCATATTTCAATCACTACAAATCCCAGCAGAAGCATCTGACTAAAACTCTCTATAGCAAATCATTCTATCCTTCACACAGATCAGGACCAAAGCAAAGCCTAGAGGGGATTTGAGGTGGTGAGCCCTGTCACACAGCCTTCAGCGGAGCAGATGCTGCAGGACGCTCACTGAGCTGAGTGCCCGGGGCACCACCAGTGCTGCTCTCTTCCTCCTGCCTGTAATTCCACACCAGTGGGGAATGGTTTAAATGGTGTGGGATTAGCACAGCTGGGGCAAGGTCCTAACCTGACCTTTGCTCTGATGTTTTCACATTTCCCAAGTACTGCAAACAGGATGGTAAGCTGGATTTCAATGTCATGTAGGGATTACGTAAGAGAATTCTTAAATGCTTTAAACTGATATTGCAGCTTTTCTGTTATTCATATCCTCATTCATATCCTCAACACCATATAATGTGGAGCAGTCAGTAAGACAGAGCACAGGAAGACTCTCCACATGCTGAGAGTTATTCTGTTTTAATGCTTGTTTTTTGGACATTTATGAGCTTCTTTGCTGCAGCTGATAATATTGCCTCTGGTTATCTCAATTTTAGTTTCATATACTTTTTGCCTGGAAATTAAGGAATGCTATTGTTACTGCAGGTCTAGTCTTGAATTTACTCCTTGCAGAACACACGCAGCTTCTGCATGACTTAGATACTGTGAAAAGCACAACGCAAAACCCAGCACAGAAGACATCGAGGACTCCAGCCATAAGCAAGCAAAGCCAGTGTCTGAGACATGTTAGTAAAGCAGGCACTGTATATGTACGTGTGTCATGTTCTGGTTGTCCATTACATTTTTTATGGTACAATTTATCTTCCTTTATAAATACATGTGAGTGCCTTGCAGGGCAGAGCTTCCTGGAGAACGTGGAGTCAGGAGCATCAACATTTTTGGCTATGATGGGGCTTCTTGTTTCTTTGTAATATTCTACAATGACAGATTTCAGCAGCCCAAACTCTAGAGCTTCCTACTTCCCTTGGATAAGTCTCGAGTCGCTCAGTGTCAGAATCTTTTGCAATTAGTAGGAAAGTTGCTTTTCTTAATACATCCAATTATGCCTCTTTATGCCATGCTTCATAACTCCTCTGTCTCCTACAGAAACACAATTGGAACTGCAGGAGCTATACAACTTGCTGCTCAGAGCATGTGGAAATTTATCGACTCTCTTCTGCCACAGAAATGGTGGTAACATATTTTGAATGGCTTCTCAAATTCAGAGTTGGGAACTAGTTTGATCTAATGCTACAGTTCTTTTCAATACTTTGTTCTTTCCTTTAGTTTGGCCTTTCTCTAGCAGTGAAGAAACTGGGTATTTATTTTAGAATGTGTCCTGGTTTCAGCTGGGATAGAGTTAATTTCCTTCCTAGTAGCTGGTACAGTGCTGTGTTTTGGATTTAGTATGAGAATAATGTTGATAACACACCGATGTTTTAGTTGTTGCTGAGCAGTGCTTACACTAGTCAAGGACTTTTCAGCTTCCCATGCTCTACCGACTGAGCAGGCTGCAGGTGCACAAGAAGCTGGGAGGGGGCACAGTCAGGACAGCTGACCCAAACTGGCCAAAGGGACATTTCATCCATGGGACGTCATGCTCAGCACATAAACTGGGGGAAAGCTGGCCAGGGGGGCCGCTGCTCGGGGACTGGCTGGGCATCGGTCAGCAGGTGGTGAGCAATTGCATTGTGCATCACTTATTTTGTATATTCGTTTATCATTATTATTATTACTACTATTATTATTTTTCCTTCCTTTTCTGTCCTATTAAACTGTCTTTATCTCAACCCACGAATCTTACTTCCTCCCCCACTGCCCCCCCGATTCTCTCCCCCATCCCACTGTGGAGTGGGGAACAAGCGAACAGCTGGGTGGTGTTTAGCTGCCTGCCAGGTTAAACCACGACAGAATGCTACAAATTTTATAAGATTAATCAATTCTATAGCAAGCTCCTCACTGCTGAAAATGAGAAATAAGGGGATAAATGTAAGTCTGGGAGAATATTTGCAAGCATAAAAATAGTCTACTACTTACAGTACAGCTTATCTTGTAAACAGCCCAAATATTGCATCAATTAGTATTAATCGAATCGCATTGTGAAGAGTATGCACAGCAATATGAGCAAAAGCTGGGAGAAGAGATTTTGTTAAGCTTAATCCTCAACTGGAAATGCAAAGTTTATGTACAGATTCTTAGTGTACCAGAAATTTTAAAGTTTATAGATCAGGGTTACTCTACCAAAAACTCATGGTGAATATGCACAGCATGATGCTTTTAGGAAACGTGTAAATCTCTGAAAAAATATTTCACAAATTCCCACCAAAACTTTTGATTTATTTGTTCAGCATTTTCTTACATTTGAACCTAATCCTCAGTTATACGGCTTCAGTGCCAGAGTAAGCCTCATACATCTAAAATCTGAGTAACCCCAATGGATATTCTTAATAATCAGTACACAAACTATACATTAAAATGCCAATTTTTGACTCATGCATGGGTAATACATTTAAGCAAGCATATTTATGCCTTTCTGTATATTTAAATGTATGCCCAAGATAAATGCAAAGTATCTTAGTATACAGATAGATAAATGCAAGATATCTTGCAAGTCCTATTGCAAGAAAATAGTTATCTACTATTTTAGCTCTGTGAATATAGTTCAGCAAAAGAAATGAGAAATTACATGCTCTCTCCTTAAAAGACTGATTATCTCTTTTGGAAGTGCCAGAGCAAGGAGAAGGAAAAGCTCATGCGCAGTGAATTATTTTTCCCTTTTCTGACAACTGTAGTTTAAAAAGGGTAAAAAATGAATTATTAAGTTGATGTAATGATAAAAAAATCAGCTTCTTCATGCACCCAATGGTAAAAAATAACCAATTAAAACTATGAGGAACTGTCAAATTAAAAAATCCTCTGGTTTAAAAAAATTTAGCTTTGATAGCTTAGAGAAAAGGCGAAGAACACTTCAAGTGCCTTTTCTTGGCAGGTGACACACAAGGAAAATCCTTTTAAACAAACTTCCTTTAAAAACCTGTTACCTTCAAAATGATCTCAAATGTAAACATACTAGTGAAGACATAATCTGCATACCCTAGGATCTGGAAGGTAAACAAAAAGTTACAAACATTATTGCTAAAGCTGCTTTTGAGCTAACAAGGATCAATTAACAATGCATTACCTTTAACAGGATTTCAACAGTAAAGATGGCTGTGAAAGCATAGTCAAAGTAACCAAGTATCTGCAAGGTATAATATGTGCCACAGTAAGAAATCCATCTATTAATAGATTTTTACAATTTAGACCACATGCACAGCAACACCTGAATTAATCTAAGTAGGTAGATGGGGAATTTATACAAAGTAGTTTAAAATTCTGGCTATTGTGCAACCATTTTTATTTACTTAAAAATTTATCAGATGCCACTGTGCTTAGATATTAGATTTCACCCCTAAAGAGTTAACAGGACCCCATAAGCAACATGTTCTTTCAATTCAGACTTTCCTCTATCAGCTTTCACAGGTACTTTCTTCAGCCTTTAGCAGAGATACAGAATTTTACACAAAGAATAAATACTTATTAATAATAAGTCCTTTTTTTTTTTTACTGAAGTATTGCATCAAAAAATAAAACTTCAATGGATGCTTCTAGACTGCACATCATTCTACATTCTACATATTGTTCCTGTATAGACTGGGCTAGAGTGTCACAAAGCAAATTAACGAATAACTAAATTACTTAAAATCAGCACTACAACTCTTTTTTATTGAACTTGAAAGATACAGCAGTGATTTATTTGTAGGAAATTTAAAAGAACCCACAACAGTTGCATAGTGATATGCAAACTTTTAAAAAGATTGTGGATGTGATATTGACCTCACTGCTGTCGACACGCACGCTGCCATATATTTCACTACAACCAAGATTTCACACCCTTTCAAGGTGGCCATATTGCTAGCACCTAATTTAGCGATCGACATGCACTGCATTGGGTACTAGTTTAGTTTCAAGGATGCAGCAATCCAACTAGCAAACAGCTGTGCACAGAAACATGTTGCCTGTGGCTCAGCAACCAATAAAACGGGAAGGAGAAATAAAATAAAGAGACAACACATAAAGACAGTATTCCTGTTAGATCATATAAAAGGAAATAATTTTTTTGCCCATGTTCAGTTGAAGATCACATCCTTCTGTCCCTTGCTGTGGCTGAAAAAATAGGCAAATATTAAAGCCATTCAACAAAGATTAATCAGTAAGGAATTCACTCTAGAGTTAAAAGAAAGTATTTAAAGGCATTCTAGTTTGCAAACTTTCATTCCCTTGTCGAGCTGGCTGGTTGAAGGAACATGATCATTCAAGGTAGTAACAAGAAAATATGCAGGTCTGGTGCATTTGTGAATATTTACAAGAGGGCAACGCCTTCTTGAAATCACTCTCACATTTTACCTGTCTGTGTCCCAAATAGGAATAATCCTTTCAGTTACCACCACTCTCCAGTTACATTTTCCTAGTACTCCTCCAGTTACAAAACTAATTATCAGCCCTTCAAGCCATTTCTGCAATAACAGTTTCAGTATTGCCCACCAGCTCTCTTTTTCTTATCCATTAGTGTGATTTATTTATAAGATTGCACTTGTCCAGTTTTATAGATATGGGAAACACACAGCTGTACTGAATAGTACACGAAGAGTGTCTTTGTGCTTTGACCTCTTTTTACCTTTGAAGAAAGTTTTAACTTTTTGGTTTTTACTAATGTTACTGAAAAAACGTTCAGAGAATGTCAACAGCCAAAAGAGGACTTTCAGAGGCTGCATCTACACTAGCAAGAACTAGAGGGATACAACATCTACTGACCTAGTAGGCCCATTTTTCCTGTAAGAGGTGGAACAGTTTCTCTAACTCCATGGCAATCTCTACAGATCAATTTATACCTAAGACAGGAGAGGCCTGGAAGTTCTGTCAACGTATCCCAAAAGTCCCCACAGACTATTACCAAGTTGCATCATCTTAGCTATTTCATACTTAATCTAAAGCATGCACAACTCACAAAAATGAGAGACTTGCTTCACTGCTAATACAAGTGCAACAAGTGTAAGACGAACATTAGTGGTCACGAGAGTGGATTTATTTTTGTTTCTCTGTCTAATAATTGTGCATTTGAGTAACAGGCAAGTCTTCTACTATATTAAGAACTTAAAATGGGGGATTCAGGAATTTGTTTTAGGAGAACACAGATGTTTATACCACATAAACTACAGTTTTATTGAATAATAGAGACATTTCTGAAATCAGTATTCTTACAAATATTTTGTTTCTACAACTATATCTAAAAAAGGATGCAGAAACACTTCCAAATTTTCAGGTCTGTATATAGGCTGAAATGGCATTTGACTCTGAATCAAGGCAAGAGTTGGGCATGCTCTGATCCAGAAAAAAGTAAAACTTGTTTAGTTTCTGATTTGGCCAATCAGGAATCCCAGGATCTTCAGGTCCGATGTGGTGGTACTCAAACTCATTAGTGTGGCCACACTAGCTTCTTTGAAAGAAGAGGTAATATCCTTACAAATGCATACACATACTAACAGACTGATACTCTGAGTTCCCCAAGACCGTACAATAGAGTCAATGAAGGAGAAGAGAGGACAGGTCAGAGTCTATTCCCAACATGTTATAAACAGTGATAATTTTAACTGGCAATCTTAAGTCAGTGTCAAACAATGAGAGGCACTAAGAGTGATTCAGGAAACACATATCAGGTACACCAGCTGAAAATTATGAAAAAACATGGAAATTATAAAGATTATGCTCAGCTTGAGCATATTTTATTCTGATATATTAATAGCCTACAAAGGAAAAACATTATGCACATAATAAATGGTTCCAATATCTATGATGTTCCATCAATAAAGTTACTTGTCTTTAAAGATTTATGGTTTTTAAAGCAAAAAAATACAAATGTATGACTTGAAAAAGGAAAAGGAAAGTTTCTTAACTTGAAAATTAGAAAACAGGCACTAGTCCCAAAGGATTGTTATCCTGTGAGGAGGTACTTATCTTCAGACATAAAAATTAAGGGCTTACATTATTTCGAAAAGAGTGGCTGCGAATTGGATCTTCTGCTGCTAGGGAAACACTGCTCAGCATGATGAAGACAAGGATAAGATTGGTAAAGATGTGGTGATTGATGAGTCTGTGGCATCCCACTCGAATTCTGAAGAGGAGATACAAAAATATACCATGCGTGCAAATAGAACTCAGCAGATGGCTAATATACAACATATTTTCTATGACTCTGACAACAATGACAGAACAGAGCAACCATCAGTAGCTAAAAGCAGTGCAAATGCTGAAGTTATAGCTCTGATCTCTAAAAATGTAAATAAATCCAAAATCCAATCCACCTGTAGTGAAGATGCACTTATCAAAGGAACCTGAGAGAGGATTTCCCAGCTCCTGTTGGTTTTCTATGGGTTATGAATGCCACTACAAGTTCCAGCATTTGTACCACTGTGCACACACAGAGGCCAATGTCAAAAGGACCAATGCTAAATAATAACTCATTTCAGATCCCCAGTTTGATTTGATTCTTATTAAAGCTGTCAAAAATAGTCATACAGTGAGATGTGGCTTAGGCTACAGATCTCATTGTGCTACTTAGAGACTCAATCCAAATCAGAATCGCCTGTGAAGATTTTCTTATAGAATTATAGGACAAATGGGCGTTGAAGATTACAGAGCTGCTAAGTTTCAGCCACGTAAGAAGTGAAACTGTACATATGCTTAGAGTCACTGAGCACAAAGTTATTAAAAATGCTATTGAGCACCTTGGTAGAGTAGGTCCGGGATTAAACTGGCAAAAAAGCAGGAGCAGGTTTATAACTGACTAACACTGAAGTTGTCTAAATTCTGCTGAAGAATCAGAAGGTTCTTAGGGAAAATTTGTTCTCCTGTTATTAAGTAGATGATTTGAGCATAGTGCATCTTAGCGTGCTGGTTTTGGCTGGGATAGAGTTAATTTTCTTTATAGCACCTAGTATGGGGCTCTGTTTTGGATTTGTGCTGGAAACAGTGTTGGTAACACGGGGATGTTTTAGTTACTGCTGAGCAGTGCTGACACAGAGTCAAGGTCTCTTCTGCTCCTCACCACACCCCACCAGTGAGCAGGCTGGGGGTGCACAAGAAGCTGGGAGGGGACACAGCCGGGACAGCTGACCCAAACTGGCCAAAGGGATATCCCACACCATAGGACGTCACGCTCAGCATATAAAACTGGGGGAAGAAGAAGGAAGAGGGGGACATTTGGAGTGATGGTGTTTGTCTGCCCAAGTCACCGTTACGCATGATGGAGCCCTGCTTTCCTGGAGATGGCTGAACACCTGCCTGCCCATGGGAAGTGGTGAACGAATTCCTTGTTTTGCTTTGCTTGCACGCATGGCTTTAACTTCACCTATTAACCTGTCTTTATCTCAGCCCACGAGTTTTCTCACTTTTACCCTTCCGATTCTCTCCCCCATCCCACCGGGAGGGAGTGAGCGAACGGCTGTGTGGTGTTTAGCTGCCTGCCGGGTTAAACCAAGACACTTAGTTAACTAAGATGGCCATTTTGGGATGAAAATATGTAGCATTAGTTGAGGCCAAAAGCAATTTGACATGTTCAACAAATCTTATGTTTTTGCATTCAGCGTATGTGTTCTTAAAATTACTAGTTTAAATAGCTGTTTTTCCAGTTTGTTTGAAAATTCTGAAGAGTTTTAGACAACCCATGCAATGAATAAGATACAAGCCCAAAATATTGTATCTTGATCATCACAACATCTTCTAAACTTAATTGTGATGAGCTCTACCACCGAGAAGGCAGTGGTCTCCTGTGCCAAATAACTCTCAAGCTCCCTTCTAAGACTGCTCATGAAATTGCTATATATAAACGTAACAGCTATGTTCAGCCTGTAGGAACTGAATTTAGTTCACTTGTTCACTTCCATCCAACAATCAGTAATGACTTTTACTGACTACAGAAGCTTGCTTTCTTCATCAGTGTGGAACTTCAAATGCTCTGGAGTTACACTAAGCGGTGAAAGATTCCAATTCCCCCCAAAATCCAACTATTCTTGTTCTTGATTTTTGAAATAATTTGTCTTTATCTTCAATGTTTACTTGAATCTGGGAAAATGCGGTTACCACAAGAGGAATACATATATCCTTTCTCCTTCTTTTCTCTTTTTCTCTTATTTGATCTTCTCCTTCCTCAGCTGTACAGCTCCACAAAGGTTCCTATGGTTCCTAGGAATCCTATCTCACGTAAAAGATGTTCAGATCTTAATGTCACACCTTTTATATCCAGTGACTAACATACTAAATAGCTAATATACATTAAAGGGTACTTTTCAGACATGTGCAGACTTGACAGACTATATCTACAAAATGCTATTATCTTCAACAGTGGGAAGCAAATCAATATCTTTATCAAATTCTTTCCGTTTACCAAGCCATTCAGAAAATTTTAGGAGAGAAGCCACTCTCTCTCCTGTTGAAGATACTGGAGTTCTATTCCTAACCTCATTGGAAGAAGGCCTGTTCCTTCACTGCTAAACCTTGATGGACTAAAACAGTATTTTTCAAAGTTATATTTACGGATTTGTGCTGCTGAAAATGAAGAAGGCACTCCCTTCAGGGATCGGTGTTATCTTCTCCTTCATATTTAGTTCCGATATTCTACGGGGACGTGGGCCTGCTGGTACCTCTGGTTCATCCTCTTCATCTTCTTCATCTTCACCTACTTTAAATTAAACACTTTTTTACTACAAAATAAAAAACATTGAGGTTTTGTTCATAACAATATAAAAGCACGGCTTCTATTAAAATATATATGGCTTATAGGAAATATATATTCATAGCATGGCTTTAAAAATCTATGAATCAATATATGAACATCTATACAGTTGTCACGAGCTTATATACATGTTTATGTGCATATATGGGCATGTGCCTAAGTGCCCTGAGTGCACTAATAGGCTTTACTCGCCCTGACCAGCCTCATCTGGGGTCTCCACTCACACCCCCTGCACACGGGCTCTGGAGTCCCAGTTAAGCTCAGCCCCTGACCATGAGTCCTTGCCTGAGCTGTGTTGTAGGGGTGCTGAGCTCTGCACATTGGTTGAGCACTGAGTGCTCAAAAGGTAGGGCAGATTTCTGTAATAGTCATCCAGACAATCAGACAGAACTGATTTTTAGATAAGTATGTTCACTGGACTGGAAGAAGCTAAGACAAAAGTGATCGAACATCATCAGCCCTGGAATGTCCCCTTTTGCCAAACATTTCAGAAAAGTTTAGAATTTGCTCCCACATTCAGATAGTATTACCACAGCAGTCTTCAGGCTCACAATATTAACTCTCATATGCTGTTTGTACTGTCTAGGAAGCTGCAGGAAAAGATAATACTTAGCAGCTTACAGGCCCATTTATCCACTGATAACAGAGCACAACCGGCTTCAAAGGAATCGATTCAGTGTTCAGCAAGAACAAGTTTAGGATATTTTAGCAAACAAACTTAAATGTGTTTGTCTTCTGGCTGGTATTCACATACCTGGTACATCACAGGGTGGATAGGGATCTTTATCCTCATCCTCTCCTTCTCCATATTCAGCAATTGTCACCTACAGCATTGAAAGGGATGCACAAGAAGAAAACTAGATTTAAATACAGCTTGGAGTATAAAGTTCAACAGAAAGCAAACCAAATAAGCCTCTGAAGTCAGGGAAGCAATCCCTATGCTTAGTCTGAGTTTTCTGAAACAGGGTAACAGAGAAGAGAGCTGACAGTTTAATACATATTTTTAAAAGATGATTTTTCTATAGTATCCACATTCTTCTGGCTGTGTAGATCACAATGAGAATATAACCAACAGGCTTTGGTAAAAATAAGCAACAATGTTTGAACATTCTACTAAGAGTTTATCATTTATTAATATCTTCCACCGGATTTATCAGGCAAAACACCTACAAGGATCTTAAAATAACATCAAATTTTTCTAACATTAACTATTTCATGCTCTAAGAACTTCCCTTCTCAGGATATCCTGAAACCAAAAGGATTTTCTGGTTTAAGAGATTCTGTGAGGATGCAAAGCATCAGAACTAAGTTTCCTTTGCCTGGAAAAAAACATAGGAATGATGGGTTCATAGAAGAAATTGTATGATGCACAGCAGTCTTGAAAAGTACTCCCTAGCAAAATTAGTAAAACTGCTTCTTAGAAAAGACACAATTTTTAGAATAAACACCTTACTATCCTTCGGCTTCTTTTGGTCACCTTCTGACTTCTCACTTTTTTTATTTTCCAGACTCTCTTTTCTACAAAACAATACAGTAACAATTACAAAGCACGTCATGTAAAGACATAAGATTTTAAGTGAGCTATACCCATTCTATGAAAAGTTAAGAGAGCATACCTAAAAACATATAGTAAAATATTTGAAATTATTTGCATAGCTGCAGGTGTCAGAGCAATAAAATCTATTGCATTTGAATGCAATGATCCATTTAAAAGATTATAGTTTTGAATATAATTCCAGAAGCTAATCCCTAAAAAATTCAATGTGTGATCATTACTCCTTTCTAGAGGGATAAACTGTGCCCTTGGACTCAAACAAACAACTTGCATTGACTTCAACAGGCCTGCACTGATTTCAGATGAAGGCTTTCGTGTTGCCTATATAAGGCCTAGAGAACTGATTCCACAGGGAGTTGTGCACTGGCAACAACAGATACATTCTTGTTCTAATTGCACAATAAATCCTACCGTTGCAATGTTTAAATATCAGTTGGCTTGTCATTATGTCCTTAATTCACCCCATTTTCCCAATTACTACCGAACTTTTATCTAAAATCATACTAATTGGGTCTTATTTTAATGTCTAGGTAAACTCTCATTTTTTTCCTGAGTCCAATAAATTTTCAAGATGGTAAAGACATTTATATGAAGTAAAGAAAATCCTTATGAAATAATTCAGTACCCTCCTCCTTCCCTCTCCTGCTTATTCAACATGCCCATGCTATTTTACCTCGCATTCTTTTTCCTTTCCTTTTCTTCAGCTTCTTCTTTCTGAGCTGTATTTAGACTTTCAGCATCTGCCAAGTTATCCACAGCAATAGCCAAGAAGACATTTAGCAAGATGTCTATTTCAAATAATTTTAAGGACATTATGCCTTACTATATTTGTTTGGTTTATTATCAGCATGAACACTGACAATGTGAGAGATATAAAACACATGTTCCCAACCTACAGCGTACAGATTTGTGATGCTGGAGTGTAGTGCAAATAACACTCATTTAATGGACTAGATTAATACTGGGTGTAAAATGAGCAGAGATCCATTAGGGTCACTGATTTTAAAATAGCACAATACTTGATGTATTTTTTAAGTAAACGAAATTCAACTTTAAGCTGGCTTGAGGAAGTTTCAAATATGAAACACTGTCTATTAAAAGTGAAGACTGTTCAGGCATTTTGAAAAATTCATTTTTATAACGCGCTATCTTCCGTGTCTAGAACAATCTATATCAAATTCTGTATTTCAGTCCATATCAGTTGAGTACAAATACTGATACAAGTACCGCATAGTGCAGAAAATTGAATGGTTTTGCCCTTTTATCACCTCCTGACCTTTTAAGAACTTCTGAGAATGACACTAGTTTCTGCTGCTACATGGGGCCAAGGAAGTATTTCCAGTACACACTGAAGGCAGGGAGCGGGAATGCTTCAGCAGACTTAATCCTAACTGACTCAACATTCTTCCATGCAGATTTCTCTCATCTGGTCCCTGCACTATACAGTGGATCACTGGCTCCACTGTCAGTGTGTGTCACAATTAACAGGGCTATATCAAGCGTCAAAAGGATGAACGGGAAATTACTGCTATAGAGATCAGACTACATCCATGCATTTTCAGAGGGAGAGATGTCAAATAGAGACAAGTAGAAAGAACAAGGCTGTTTTCCCACTGAAGGAAGAAAAAAAAAAATTATCTGGTTTCTGCCACTGTGGTGGCGGGAGATAGACTCGGAGATCACTGGAGTCGCATTCATTAGGGAACAGGTGTACAAAGAAAAGTCTATTTAAAGGACTTAGCACATGCAGAAAGCATTTGCATGTCCATTGCAATTTACTCCCTTCTAGAGAAATTTTGCATATGTCCCTGGCACCCAGCCCCATTTGGAGATGTTTCCAGTGAGTGCAAAGGATACAGTTACCACAGATGAAGAGGATAATGAAATATATACAGACTATCATGCCTGACGATGATGGGCCACCATATGCCATTATGCCATCATACATAACAGCATTCCAGTCTTCACCTGTTAGAATCTAAGAAGCAGATATATTATTAGTAACTCAACATCAAAAAAAGCAATAAAGAAATACATTTCCTCTGACCACAATACACAATAAGGCTAACCTTCTGTATACATAAAGCAATACCATAATCTTTTCATGCATTGTTTTAAAATTTCCGTTTAAGTGTCTCCTGAAAGCTTGGGTTTAACTCTACTAGCTTTTATTTTATGCTACACATCTACATCACTGAACTTCAAAGGCAAAAATGATAAAAATAGAAGCCTATAATTTTATTGATTTTAGCATGCAAAAGTAAGAGCCCTGATTTTCAGTAATGCCACATATGTAGTAATGCCCACAAATGTTCATCATTCTTGAAAATCATGTGAGTATATGTTTTAAGGTTCTCTTTTTTTAAAATAGTGGCCACAAATCTTTTCTAGTGTATGCCATTTTTTAGTCCTGCAAATTGGTCTAACCAATTTCAGTTTTAACGGGGACTGGCCACCTTATCATAAATTATATAATACACGTACCACACACATACACTACTGCTATAGCTTTTGAAATGGTACCTATTTTAAACTGAATGGACCTCAATGCTGTGGGAGAATCACATTATTTTCTTATTGGCTATTGTTTCATGGAAGTCTGAAAGAATTTTACAGAAATCTGTTCATTAGTTAAAAGGATAGTTTACAATGACGCAACTCCACTTTTTCTGTATTGTAACAAAAATTCTGGGTATTACAATGCAGGTTATAGGGGCACTTCGTATATTTCTAAGTAACTTCTTAAAAATTATCAGTTCTATCCTGAGAAGACATGCAATACTGACTCTCCTTCCAAGTAATTAAGTGGTTGTTTGAGAAAATTATATGCATGCCAATTTCTGAAATTCATTTTTGGAGAGCTAAACTTATCAAGCTGATTTTCACAGTTATTGAGCACCCAACAGGTTGGTTGCTCCTGAGTGTATTCTGAAACTGAAAATCAGCCTAAAATCTGAATAAAATCCAACTCAGCTGAGTTTGAAAGTACAGCCTTCATTTTTTAAAGAGGCAATGCCAGGTCAAATGTGGACACTTTTCCTCTTAAGGAGATTTCTCATTAAGATTTCCTTATGTTAAAATTACATGGAAAGATTTTTTGCTTGCTCTGGGCAGCCACCAGATGAAAATTCTACCAGAGACAGGAAGCTGGCACAAAGTTGAGTCTTGCAGGGTCAGCTTTAAACACTCACCTACAATGTCTGAAACCAAACATTGTGGAAATGTGCAAAGCTGAATGTGAAAATGGCTAGAAAGATGAAACCAATTAGCCTAATTCCAGAATCCAAATTGGGAAAAATAAAAAAAAGGATCATAAAGTAGTGAAAAGTAAACTGTGAGTATGGCCCTATCTTTTCACAACTAGCAGACACGTTACTTTAAAATTTTAATAAACCTGACAGTGTCTCTTTAAAGAAATTCATACTGATTTTTATATTACAGTAAATGATATGACCCATATGCAAATATGCACTTTTACAATGCTTCTCATTTTTTCCTGCTTGGGAATAGCTGAACTTTTATATAGCTAATGAAGTTAAAGAAAACAGTTTGATTAAAATAACATTCCACCTCTTTTTCTAGTCATGTATTTGATGGACAAAGGAGATTCAATTTTGTGAAGTAATATGACAGCTATGTTGCATAGATAGATCAAATAAGACATGAAACAAATGGTACAAATGGTGCAGAGTTACCAGAGTACTGAATTTAATGAGCAGAATGCTACTTAAAGTAAACTGAATAAATAGTATTCGAGATTTTATTTTCAGGCAACATGATCACTTAAACAGTTTTGTTGATCATCAAAGGTAAAATGTTTCATACGGGATGAAAGAAAGTTACCTGGAATACAGTTAAAAGAGCTTGTGGAAAATTATCGAAGGTGCTCCGTTTTGTTTGAGTTTCATCAAAATTAAATTTGCCTCCAAACAGCTGCATTCCAAGCAACGAGAAGATTATGATGAAGAGGAAAAGCAGAAGCAACAGTGAAGCAATGGACTTCATTGAGTTTAACAAGGATGCTACCAAGTTGCTCAGGGATGCCCAGTGCCTATAAATTAAAATGCGTGTGTTAACACACACCAAAAAAACCCAAACAAAACAGTAAAAGAGCAGCGCATGATGAAGTATTACAAAAGAATTGCTGATCACCCTTCAGCTATCCCTAAAGTTAGCAGTATTAGTTAATCTTACCTTGTTACTTTAAAAATACGCAGGAGACGAACACAGCGAAACACTGAAATTCCAAGGGGTGACATAATTTCCAACTCCACCAAAATTGTTTCAACAATGCCACCACAAACAACGAAGCAATCAAAGCGGTTAAAAAGAGAAACAAAATAAGCCTGTAGGCCCAGGCTGTACATCTTTACTAACATTTCACAGGTGAATAAAGCCAGAAGAACTTTATTTGCGATATCTGGAACAAAATATTAAAAAAAGAAAAAAGACAGACATTCCTGAATTGTCTCATAGATTCCATTTTTATTTTAACTTATTAGTACTATACTTTCTATACTAGGTCACAGCCTTTTGCTTAAGAAGGAAGGAAGTACTGTTTTTTTATGTTGGACTGTATTTGATGCCTAAGTGGCAAAAGTTACACAAGGATGTAAAGCTTCCTGCGACCTCTAAACTATTCATCTTTCCAATCCATTGTGCAGTTCACGGCTGCTCAACTCACACCTTGAGTAAACAGTGTAACTTAAGCAACACAGCCCACAGCGTGTTCTGCTGTGCCAGTTCCCATCTCCTTCCTCATCTTTCAAGCATGGTTTAACAATAAAAGTACAGGTTATTTACAATTTAGTATTGTCAGTTTTTTGCCGGTATGCCATTAAGCTGTTCAGTTATGCCATTAAGTTGTGGAAATCAAACACATTCAGTCATTTCTTGTATCTCCCTTTGGCTGGGCTGAATATCCTTCAGGACAGCAAACAACAACAAAATGGCAAAGTACAAAAGTAGGCACCGATAGAATGCAAGTATCCGTAGTCAAAAACAGGACAAATAATTTTTGATTGTACCTTGGATCTGGGTCAGCCAGTCAGGTTGATTATAATGCTCCGATGAGATAGTTAATGTATTCAGAAAGACCAAGACAATAACAAGCCAATAAAATGTGACAGATTTTACTGCAGCTCTACATTTTCTTCGATTAAATCGATTCCAGCGACGCCAGCGTCGACTGAAAGTTCAAATAAAAACAAATTTATTATTATACAGAAAACACATATGAACTTAAGGAGGGTTTCTTCTGTGTAGAAAACATAGTGCAAGTATGTATGTGTGAGCAGGTGTGTTTACATAAATATGCGCACAATAGTTCAGATAGTTGTGTAAATTATTACCAGTTGCAGATTAGGGAGTGCTAATCTGTTATTCCTTTTTTAGATTTCATTATAGATTTTTAAATGTAAACCACAACTTTTGGAGACTGTAATTGCCTGTGACATAATTAGATTAAGCTGCATTTAACATTTCATTGACTAGCGATGTATCTGTCTTCCCAGGCCCCATACACTTAACAGCAGTAAAGAAAAGCCAATGAAGCAACTTAGAATTCAGATTACATTTAGTCTGAAAATGTAGGCTTTGAGTTAAACCACGGGCACAATTTTGGCAGGATTAAACAGGGCAGGAATGTTGAGGTCAATTTTTAGAAATCTACCCTATAACGATGTTAGAAATCTCGGTCAGCGACTCCACTGATGTGTCAGATTTCCACTCATGTGCCTTGAAATTGTGTCAGTGGGCAAACATTTGTGAAATGAGTAACAGTGACAATCAAGGACAAGTAAACAGACCCTATCTAGATAGGAGTTGGACTCACAAGTGAGGGTATTAGCTCAGCTTTGTACTCATAAAACTAGATTTAATTTCTCTGCTTCACTTCTGGGAACTTTAGTAAACCAATTAGGTTCCTTGAGTTACATTTCCATTTGTGAAACAGGAAGAAAATATATTGCTGGGTCATAGGAAGAGAAGGATTAGGAAGCAATTGATATTACCTAAAAGGGAGGCATATAAAATTCACACATCCAAAACTACCGCCATGGGCTCAGATAATAAATTTTAGGAACTGACAACTGCTTCATCCAAAATTCAAGGGACAGAGCAGGCACAGACTCCAATGGAAGCTTGACCTAGCCTTAAAATAGCAAAGAACTGAGAAGAGTGTACATGTATAAGCTTCTTCCTCTATAGTTTTACTATCAAGCCAGTCTAGCATAAATCTGTTGTGAGATGGAAAGGGGTGGTCTGCTCTCCTTGTTCTGCCCTCTCCTTTCCATTTTGCCAAAAATAGCCCCAGTGAAGTGAGCCAGACCTGAGAATTGACTGGTGGAAACCAATTTCTTTTTTTCTGGGTTGATTTTAGTTGGTCAGTTGTTTGATCCAATTCCTTGTATTGCCGCATCACAGAAAGAGCAGGAAGAATGAGTGGCTGAGACAGGGGAAAGGCACTGCAGCCCTTTTGGCAGTACCAAAACATGGAACTATGGCTTTTGAAAATTGTTACATTCACTAGGTGAATTTCTTAATACTTTATTGTCTGAATTGGCAAGTATTGTATTCAGTATGTATAAAATCAGAAATGCCTTAAATCTGCCTCAGAAAACAGAAACAATATGCAGTACCATCACCATAAAAATAACCGAGCTTGGCATTGCATTCAAGCATTAACTGAGTTTTCCTTATGCACCTTAAATTGGTACTTGCAGTAATGGAAATTAGTACTGGTTTCAGACATCAGTACAAAGATGTTTCAAGCCTTTACAATATTTTAGCCATATAAAGGAAAAATATCCTGTCCTGACCTCAAACTACATGGTATTCAAGATAATTTTTATCTTGCCAGTCCCTTGATAAACAGCACTATGTCCATGGCCATCATCAGAATGGTTCACTCCCTGGGTAAGTAAAACAGCCTTTTTTTATGCTTACAGAACATCCTATCGATGAAATCAATGAGACAATAACAATATTGTTTGTATATCTCTACTCAAAGGAGCTAAAAGCAGTCTCAAAGTGTGTAACTCTGAAGCCAATGGGGCTTTTTTTTTCCCAAAAGGTCTGTGGAATCAGTGACAAAACAGTGTAACTAAGTGGTGCCCATTTGAAAATGCTGCCAAAGGGTGTGCAATGGCACTCACATGTAGAAGTGTATGAATAATATAAGTATATGTAAAAAGCCTACAGAAATAAAGCAAAAATTCAAGAAGGTGAGTAGGAGTAATCTTCTACCTTCTGGTTAGAAGACTGGTACAAGTAAAGAAATAAACAGGAAGTAGCAGACTGAAGTAGATGGCCTGTTGTGCAGGAAAACCTGTGGCTATTATATAAAATAGGAAAACCAATTACATTATTTTCACTCAACAGTTTTCTATTTTTTAGTAACCGTCCCTCCTAGTTTTAACCAAATAGCATGATTTTTTTCTGGAAGAATGAAATGAACCCTTATATTTTGAAGAGAAATTCCATTTTCATAAATTTGCAGTGATACAATATTGCTTTCACGAAATTATCAAGCATTTTTGACAAAATGTAGCAGTTGAATAAATATTAAAATCACAGAGGACACTTACAGTTGACAGAGTTTGTTACAATAAACCGAATTATTCACTGCTTTTGTTCTCATTAAATAATTTATCATATTTGCTTCGTAACTATTTAGGAGCAAATCATTATTCTTACAAATGTGTTTCCAATTTCACTTTCATTCACTCAGGTATTCATGTTTAGGTGGTCCTTAAATTTGAATCCACACATGGGAAATCCAGCCTTGCATTGACTCTGACTGAAATCAGTGTCAGGCAGACAGTCAGTCATGCAGAATCTATGAAGTTTAGTTTGTTTACTTGCTATTCATGTGTGTTTGTGTATTGCTACTAGACCTACGCAAAGGTAGGAATATTCATTTTCAGATTATTTTGTATCAGCAGCCTTTCATTACAACATGGTATTTTTCTAAACTGGACTTTCTGTTTAGAACCACATGCATAATCCCTGTATCTGAGAAACTGGCATGCCTCGTATTTTCACTAGTAAGCTCACAGAGAAGTAAATATGAATGCCCAAGATGAATTCTTCTTTAATTGTGGGTGCTAACATCTGTGCAGAGACCCTAGACTTCACTACTCTTATTTATAAAATATGGGACAGAAAATTGCACCAGAGTGCTCACTCATGAAAAAATAGAAGCCTTTGAGATTATTTTTCCATTCCTCATTTTTGTAGTTACAGGATTCAGGGCATAGCACCAGCTTTTTAGCATGACTTGAAGGTTAATGTGATCATATAATCACACTGACAAATGAGGAAGCCAATTCTTAAAAAAGAGGGATCTTCACAGAGGACAACGTGCACAAATCTCTTCAACTAGCGGATCCCCATCTTCCTTTAATCATAGCTCTGTCACTTCCATGTGAGGAGAAAAAACAGTTGTTCTAGCATCAAAACATTTCAAATTCCACCTGGAAGATTACAAATATGCAGCACAGATCATATTTACCCATATATCCTCACATGTGTGGCTGATATACACCTTCACTTACTAAACTGGCAGATAACTGCTATCTCTTGACCAAATACCCATCTGACTGTATAGAAACATATTTCCAAAGATTAACTTCTATTTTCACTTGTGGTACAGCAGGTAGGCTAGCTTGCAATAAAAAGCATTTTCTACTTTGATCCAAAGGCAAAGACGTTTATGGTCAAACCAATATCCTTGATAAGCTATGTCCTGATTTACTTTGCCCTGAAACACAGTGTACTGCCATTGCAGAATAACATTCCCAAAGTTGGAGCGAGGATCAGGCCAGAAGAGTGAGAATTAGATCAAGATTTAGCATTTGGCTTAGAATGTAATAGGACATCCCTGACAGCTGAACACATAATCTAGGGCTTTACTGCAGAACTGAGAGTTTCTGTATTTTAGGTAAATTGAGCTTTTTAGAAACTAGTGATTCCAATGAAAAACACCAAAATTACATTCTTCTGACATATCAGAAAAGTTGATTTTGCAAATATGAGATGTTAGGTATCCAGAAGCAATGGGATGAGAACTGTGAGTCTGCAGATCCTTAGAGAGATAGAAGAGCAGATACACTCTGTTCTCAGTGGCATTGCAAAGCCAGCAGCTCTTCAAAGTGCTTTTTCTCTCTGATAACAGATGTTGTCGGCGGTCTTTAGGAGTCTGGGACATGGTGCAAGCCACATCTGTTTGGAAGACAATGGCACAACTATAATTTTGAGCTCTGTTGCCTCAAAACTACTCCTTACATGGATTCATTAAGTTAAAAGGGATAGATCTTTCTCCAATACAAGTAAAGACATGAAAGTTGAAAGGGGAATTCCCATTACCAAATTCAGCTTAAAAAGTTTAAGTATGGTTGAAGACCTCAAGCAGCTGCAGACTGCTGCAGCTCCTCCAAATGAGAAACCAACATCCCATTGCCGATTGCCACAACTTCTGTGAAGAGATGCAGCAATACATGTATGAATGAACTTCTGTGTGACTTGTGTTTTTTAATGCCACAAGAACAGGTTCTGATCAAAGAGCTCATGCAAAAGACATTTAGGACAGTAGCAGTATCTAGACAGCTGGAGATACTTTGGTGACTTTTTGGCTTGCAAAGAAGTTTTCTTTCAAATTGATATGTTGATTATGAACAATGATTGTAGAGATGGATAGCACTGACTGCTTATTACTCACTACTTGGACTATTAAAAACATCAGGTTTGGGTAGAAATTCTCCTTTCTCAAAGATGAGGTAGCAGCTTTCAGTTAACAGAGCTTCTGGAGTTCTCTTTTTCCTTAAAATATGAATAATGGGCATGGTTCAGAACATAGGCATTACTTTGTGCTTTCTCTGTAATGCTTCTATGAGTCCCCACTGTGCAAGCAGACCAAACTTGGAGAATGTAGTATAATGGCAGTCTATTGCACTGCCTGGTATTTGAAGTTTCATGCGACCACTTCATTTTTGAATTTCTCCTTTAAAAGCAACATGAGTAGGCTTCATAGCAATAAATAGCATGCTATAAGGTTGATTGGAGACAATCCCATGATTCAAAATAATCATGCTTGTTTGGGATTCTCAGCTAATGAAATACTAAACAAATTGTTCCATTTGTTCTACTGTTATGGTAACTGGAAGCAACGGCAAAAGAAATTACAGACCATAGCACACTGAATTGCTTCTCTTTATTAAGCTAAAGCAGTCTCATCTCTCATCATTCTCATGAAGGGTTAAGCTCAAAGGTCCACATGGACACAACTGGTCCATTCAGTTGGTGTAGCTAAGGCCAGTTTCTGTAGCAGAAGGCATACAAGAAGTGATACAGCTTTTACAACTAATGATGAAAATTCTAAAAAGTTAGTTGTGTATTCGCTACCATCCTTAACGGCCAGATCTCCATTGGCCACAGTCTTCAGCAGAGTGAGGCACATTTATATGCTGTTACCAGTTTGCTGGCTGAAAGGGATGACAAAATAAAGCTTGATCATAGCGTCACATGAAAAAACTCTCAGTGTAGAAAAGCACCAGTTAACTGTTGCCTGGGAGCTCTTCTTCAAAAAAGAAAGAAGACTATTCAGAAGGAACACAAGTCCGCTCCAACTGCTTGCAACTGGTCAGCGCTGGTAGGTCATTAGAGCTAGTAAGGCTAGTAGAATAAACCTGGGTATGCTATTCCTCTTCATTGCTGCAAGGAGAATACACTGCTGTTACCAATGAATTACTTGCTACACATCCAACACTGAAATCAGTTTTACTAGGGTTAAAAAATTGAAATGGTTCCAGATGTTGCCAAAACTGCTGATGCCAGATGTTGCCAAATCTTCTTGATTGTCCCTTTTTTTCCACCGAAAATTTTCTGTGAAAAATATTTATTCTGTGGGTTGTCTGCAGCTGCAGGAGTGTCTTTGCCCTCTGTGATTCACTAAGTCTACCACTTGATTACTTACCTTAAATCACATAGCGCTTTTTTTTTGTTGTTGTTCCGTCATGGAGCAACCTAGCCTTTTTAAACAGAAAGAGGTATCTCTTCTTTGCAATTACCCTTTCTAATTACTAAATATATGGCCTATAAGACTGGAAAATAAAATCAAAATAAACCTATTGGTTTTGTACTGGCACATCCAGTGTCTACAGTATCAGGACTATTAATTCTTAATTTTGCTTACAACACTTCCCTTCTGCAATCATACTTGAAAATAGAAGCTCATATTCCCAAATGCTCCTAGTAATTGAAAAGAGAGCCACAAATATCATCAAAGCAAATCAGGGTGTTTGATTTCCAAGAGCATTCATGGATAATTTACTTTTGTATTCACCAGTAACTGTTAGGAAGAATTTTCACAAAATAAAATTTAAAGTGCAGTAAATGAAGAACAATTATATTAGATCATTGTGATGTGAAATAGTCACAAGGAAAAAAAGTGATGAAGAGAGAGGAAAATACTGACCTGAACTTGGATTTTGAGATGGTTTGACTAGAAGAAAAGGAAAACACGTTTTTAAGAATGTGGAAAAAATAATTAACACAAATTGGTTCTCTTTAGAATTCTGCAAATCAATACATTGGAATTACATATACATAAAAACAAGCTTTTAACAAAATGCATCATGAATGCTGAAATTCTGTTGCCAGTTATTTATTTTCTAAAATACCATTCCTAAAGCTTTACAAATTTTCTAAGTGAAAGGAAGGAAACCTCCTTTAAAACTAAGTAAATACACTGCTCATGCAGAAGCTGCTTGGAAGTCATGAAAATCTGAACAAATAAATAACAAACACCATGGGATACAGAAATACTCCCATACGTTCAGTTATTGCCTAAAAAATACATGTTCTCCAGATCATGCACAATTGTGCTGGTTTTGGCTGGGATAGAGTTAATTTTCTTCACAGTAGCTCGTATGGGGCTCTGTTTTGGATTTCTGCTGGAAACAGTGTTGATAACACAGGGACATTTTAGTTACTGCTGAGCAGTGCTGACACAGAGTCAAGGCCTCTTCTGCTCCTCACCCCACCCCACCAGCGAGCAGGCTGGGGGTGCACAAGGAGCTGGGAGGGGGCACAGCCAGGACAGCTGACCCCAACTGACCAAGGGGATATCCCACACCATAGGACGTCACGCTCAGCATATAAAACTGAGGGAAGAAGAAGGAAGAGGGAGACATTTGGAGTGATGGTGTTTGTCTGCCCAAGTCACCGTTACACATGATGGAGCCCTGCTTTCCTGGAGATGGCTGAACACCTGCCTGCCGATGGGAAGTGGTGAACGAATTCCTTGTTTTGCTTTGCTTGCACTCACGGCTTTAACTTTACCTATTAACCTGTCTTTATCTCAACCCACGAGTTTTCTCACTTTTACCCTTCCGATTCTCCCCCCATCCCACCAGGGGGGAGTGGGCGAGCAGCTGGGTGGTGCTTAGTTGCCAGCTGGGGTTAAAGCACAACAACAATTTAACAGAAAATGTTTCATTTTACATGTCATAGGGGACTTTCATTCTTATTACTTTGGACAATAATTATATTTTATAAAAGCTTTCAGGAAAACATGACTCCACTGGAAGTTTAGTTGAATTGTTTTATATCTTCTTAACTTGAGAATTTCATGAGTGCTTTAATGCTGTAATAATTGGTCTAATATTAAACTACTGAAAGGCAAAAAAACCCCGAAGTGTCATACAAAGCTTGACTATTTGAAAGCAGTTTTGACTAAACAAACAATGGGGAAAGAATGATTCTTTTAAATTTTGAGATGATGAGGGTGGGTACTTGAAAACAGTCCGTGTACTCACCATAAACTCCCACAGCATGCTGGGTTCTCTCCTTCTCCACTCACATTCTCTGTGTTCACTGATTCAGTTTCACTGGTGGGCATGCTTGCTGTTAGGAGACAGAAATTGTTTTAGATTGATAGCCAAGCAAGGCATTACACAGAATGTGATCTCCTGTTCTATTGCAAGAATGCCTCCACTTTTTGCAGGTCTAATGAGAGCTTGGAAGATCTGAGGAATAGCAGATGAAGTTAGACACTTCATCAGTCCTCCTCTTATAACAAAAGAAAGCACACAAAATTCCAGAGTGTATCGTAGCTTTTTTTGTTTCTTTCCAGTGATTCAACGTAACTGTTGAAAATGCACTACAGAATACAATGTAGAGGAGTTTTGTAACAAAGAGCATGCTACCCCTAGTAAAGAAATAAACCTGAGCTAGATTTTATGACCTTTCATTTTAAGAAGTGTTCTGTTAACACTTTGGAGATGTTTATCAGTTTAAGTCTTGCTAACATGCTCATTAATTCCAAGAAACATCATCACAGTTCTGAAAATAGGAACTATCAACTCTGATCATACTGACCGCTCTATGCTTTTACTTCCATTATGAATTATCAAGGCAAGATGCTAGAAAGTAATTGTGCCTGCAAATACTATATGAGCAGACAGGAAGGAGCACTGGGAATGGCAGAATGGTTAGTACAAAGGATGATGAGAATTACTACTAATAAAAAGGGGATTCTTACGTATGTTACACAGTGAATTATTGTACATATAGCGGACCATTACTGAATAGTTAGCAATTGTAGCTAATGGTTTTTTAGACAAATTCATTTGCAGATTGGTCATCACCATTTATCATCAAATCAACTGAAATATAGAGGGAGGACAACATGTCAAAAGGTGTTAGGAAATGATGAACAGCCAAAGTTCTCAGTACTTCCTAGGGGAGAACACTACTTCCATGTCTGCAAAGCAAGCATGAAAGGAAAACCTCAGGAATAAGAAAAGCGTAAAATTAATGTTGCTGGTTTATACAGTAGAAATACCATATAAAGTAGGAAAAAATGAGAGGTGGAAGATGCACTGAGACAACTGTAGAACAGCAAGAACAAAAGAAAAACAGACTATCTTAAAACTACTCATTCTCATTTTTTCTTTTGTTCTTGCTGTTCTACAGGAATTTCAGTACCTTCTGCTGTTTTGATGGTTTGCTTGTTTGGCTTGTTTGTTTTGTTTTGGTTTGGTTTGTTGGGGAGGGTTTAAACCAATGTCCTTGGACTGAGAGTACTGAAGGCAGAAGGGCTACAATGCCTGTTTCTCTTAGGGATGTCTCACTATTTTGGCAGTCTAAAGGAGGCTTAAAGCAGGCTTAATTACACACATCTTAATATAGTGAGACTCGAGAATCAGGCCCTGAATTTTCTGATTTGTCTACAGATCAGGTACAAAATGATAACTGTTAGTAACAGCTTCTCTGCACAGCCTCTATATTGCCTCAACACTGACAGAGAGATACATGGAAGTGGTAAATGGTAGTTTGGTTTCCATGTCCATCAATTTCATCCAACTAGAGAGTGGCAGGTCTGTGCAGGCTAGATGTTCAGCAACTACTTGCAACAGCTGAGAATCTGTCCCCATAAATGTAAGTCACCATTACATGAAATATTAAACACAGAGTTGGCATAACAAAGGAAGATCCAAAATGTCCATGCAGGTGTTTGAATAAAACTTCAGGCACTTCAGGCAGTAAGCACAGCAAAACCTTCTTTCACAAGGTTCTTCTGTTTTGGTGATTCTTTTAAAATATTATTGTAATTCCTTTATATATGCAAAATCCCTGGTTAGCACCTGCAAGTGCCTCAATTCTAGTATCATGTTTCTCTTTATAAATCAGTTTTAAAAAATGAATATTGCTGGTCTAACTTCACAGCTTACAGTCACAGAGTTCAAAAGGAATTTCATTCAGAAGTAAAGCAAGCAATCTTTGATGAAATCCAAGTTCAAGTACTAAAATTTTCAAGGGCTTAAGAAAAAAAAATTTACAAAACTATTTCAGACATTGTCTCAGATCTTCAGAACTAATATTTTTTATTTAAAAATGCCAGGGTCTTTTGCAATAAATGCAAGGAGTTTCCCTGTCCAGTTAATAACTGAAATGGTTGTCTTATGCTGGGTGACTTGCATGCTGTTAAGAAACACAACATTATGGCCACTTAATGATGAACATTTTAGCACTTGTGATGGGCAATTGCAAAATATGAGTGCAGAAGTCTTGTCTCATACACTGTTACTAACAGCTGCCATGAAAACAGAGCTAGGCCCACTTTTGCAAGTATTACATGTGCAATGTGTGTCTCACCCTTGTGTTTCAAATTTATCAACCCTTCCCTCATCTAAAAGCAGTACCTAGAATCCAATTCCTCATAAACTGTCACTCAGCGTGACATGAATGCTATCTGTTTTAATATATGCCAAATACTTTTTAAAAGAGTAAGTGTAAAGTAATATAATTTTAATTCAAGTCTACCCAGACTTGATGCATTAACCCACAGTTAGAAATACCAGCCTGTTTTGAACATGACTGCATGAAGAAAAACAAAATACCAAAGAAAAAAAAATCTTTGCCCCTATTGAACCCAGTATCAGTTCTGCTAATAATTAAATACAGCCAGAATGTTACTCTCTATTTCAGACAGCGCTATTGCTCTAGCTCTATTAGTGACTTGCAGGTGCTGTGTTACAAAAATGGAAGAGGAAAAAAAAGTACCATAAACTGTTCAGTTTACATTAGAAACTCAGCTATCATACTGTAATTTATACACCAAAAGAAAAACTTGACAGAAGTACTGAGAAAGGCACCATGTGGAAGTCTAGCTCCAGCAATGCTAGCAAGTCATTAAATCTTTAGCCAGAAGAAAACAGCAACAGCACTGCATGACCACATCCACTCTCACTAATGCAAGCAACCTGGCAAGTCCTGAAAAGACTCAATTTCACGACCACAGCTTTTTTAAGGCAGGTGTTCATTGGGCAACATACAGCACACAGAATGAACTTTTGAAAGACAGTCTGATCTCAGTAAGGCCAGTTTTGAGATCTTTAAACTGGTACTCCAGTATTCAAAGGAAGATACCAAATTTTCTCTACTCTTTATTCACCTTTTGCCCTTATTTTATTTATTCATCTGGAAATATTATCTAGATTTCTAGATAGTATCAGCTCTCTTCAATTATGGTAACTGGTTTCAAATGAAAGAATGCTTGCATTAGGCAATATAAACAACCCATATAGCATGCAGCTTAATACTTTCCTGAGTATACAGAAAATAGGTCAAATATGTCAACTCCTAAATTTCATTTCAGTGGATAAGAAAATAGATTGTTTTTCTCATGTTATAATGTTCACTATTTACTCTAAACAGTTTTCAGATTTTAGAGCAGGGATTTCAAACTCCACACCAGGACATAACTAATGCATAGCTAAGAGCAAGTCAGTGTCCATCAGCATTGATATGTCCTAGCCAGCTGGAGTCGGAAGAAATAAATTCCATAATCCTGCTATATGACAATTTAGTGTCACTGTAGAACCAGAAGCAGGCTAAATTACACACTGAAATACTGAACTGTGGTGGCAAGTATTATTGTTGGAAATGTTTTCCTCTAGAAAGTATATAGTTAATATTTTAATCTGGTTCAACTTCAGCTATGCATTTTTGATCCATAAGTTGATCTCATTTCCACACTGATGCACCTTGGGTGGCTTTCTGGTTACACATGCTGAAGGAAAAGAGCGTAGAAGTGCACTGATCTGCAGAGCTACTTGGATAATCAGTAATAGCTACTGGAGAAAATCTTACAATTATTAAAAAAGGTACTATGCTGACAAAATTTTAGATCAACCTTGCAAAATGGTCATCATCTGTCTGCTGGTAACATCCAACCAATTCCATGAGCTCCAAAATTCTCCTAATTTTTTCTCAAATCAGTACATGGATTTTCTGAATCTTTTACACCAAATCTTTGAGGTAGTCAAACAGGAGAACAGAACAACAACAACAACAACAACAAAATTGGAAGAGGCAACATTATAATTGCAAATTCATCACAAATTTTCCTAAGTCTGCTGTATGCCCAGAAAACACATCAGAAAGAAGTGGTACTATCTACTCTGTGAAGCTCCTCAGGGTAAATTCAGTTTAAGGAGGGACTGCCTGGAAGATGTTCTACGTTATACTGTAGCGAGGTTATCTGTATTCATAGTGCACATCTAATGTTGACACTATCAACAATCATTCTTATAGGCTCTCTCATTTTATATTTTATAGGCAGCCCATGGAAACTCAAGATAAGGTTGAATGGTTGCGTAGCAGTGGAAGGAGAGCAAAATAATCAGTCTTCATTACAGAAGCATCACTGAACCAACCTCTTCTAGCCTGAAGGATGACACTATGAATCTTGGGAATGTTGTATACTCTATACATTTGGCGTTTTTAATAGAAATAGACATACAGGTAATACAAAGAAAAACATTTACAGTGGGATTTCTAATCCAGTGGTAGTCTAAGTCTGAACTGCTCAGATCAGCATAATAGTCTCACAAATACAGAAAGAAACAGACTCAGGCCACCGATTTGTACGTTGGAAAGATCCTACTCATAAAAGGTATACCTGCCCTGCAAGACACAGATGAAACTGTAAGTCAGTGCACACGTGCTTGAAAAGGCTTCTGACTAGCAATGTCAAGTACTAGTAGCGAGACAGCATTTGTGGCCGGTAGATGACAGTAAATTTTCAGCCAGTTCCATGCTGCTTCATGACTGACATCAGAACCTGAACCTGCTAGTTTAAAGGCTATGTTGAAACACATATCCAAAGTAAGATTGCAACCACTGTCTTTCAGCAATTTTTATGGAAAAATTATTCCAGCTTGTAAAGCTGTGTGAGCTATTAGACAATATATGTAAACAGTTACACAAATAATTTCAAGCAAACTCAGTATTTGTAGAAAATGAGTCCATTAGGTCCTAGCAATTCTGACGATATTCTCTACATTAACGCATTCTCTACATTAACTGGATTATATTTGTCAGCCTCAGTCTGAGCCACAATGGTGATTCTTAGGACAGCAAGGAAGTCAGTTGCTCCAAAGACTTTGTTGTAGGTAGGATTAAAACTACGTCTCCTAATTACTACAACTGTGATTATGTCAAATCAATAAGTTTGCCAGTATTAAAAGAGCGCAGACTTGAAAATAACTATCATACTGTAAAACGCCTGTCCATCTCCATTGTGGGTGGGAAAGAAATTGAATAAAACAAAAATTACAGAAACAAACTATCAATAACAAGAGGAGATACAGTAAAAGTTTGTTATGTTTTATTAGATTCTACATTAAAACATTCTACTATTATAAATAAGTAGTCGATATTATCATCATGCTGTTCTAAGCTTAGACTATGATCCATTGTAAAGCTTGTAAAATACTTTGATTAATTTCTTCACACCTGAACTTAAAACACATTTTTTATCTGGTTTACCTGACTTTTGAAAAAGAAAACCTATGCTTCAACAAGAACAGTCACAAAGACATTTCAGTGAAAACCTAAACGGATTAAAGATTATGCTTTAGGAAGGTAGAGCACTGCAGCACCAGCCTATTTCAGACATGCACTTAAAACAGCAGAACCGCATGCATGAGTGTCTACATGCTAAAGATGTATATGCCTTTGTTATAGAAAATGCATACAATATGTGCTTTCAAAAGCTAACACATCAAATGCAGTATTGGCACAAAAGAAAATTCAACTGCAAATCAGAACATGTTTTACCATGTTTATTGGAAGAACGGCCAAAGCAACTAAGTCTGCTTTTCTTCTTTTCTTCCATTAAGTCAGCCAATGTAACCCCTTCGTGTTACGTACATGTAATCCCAGCATTTACACAGTAGATGGCAGCAGTTGCAACGCAAAAAATAAAAACGTGTCCATATATACCACACAAGCAATGTTAGGCAAAACAAATTGAAATTACCCGCAGCATAACTAATCAGAGCTAAATCCCTCACCTCTCACTGATTTTTGCATTTTGAGCTGAATTTGCAATGCTTTGAAGTCTACAATTCTAGGAGTTAAAAGGTATTCCATTATTCAACAGCACTGAATACCTGCCCGCTATCAGCAATGGAGATGTACGAATATGGATGTTCATATATAAGTGACCTGACAATGACTTCTCTGGTTAGAAATTTTAAAATGCTGGGGTTGCAGGAACCTAAACTACATTTTTAAAGGATTATGAAAGAAGCTATTAATCACTGATTTAACTGCCTTTGAAATCTGTTCCTTTTCCTGCCATAGAGAGACATTCTGTATCCTAAACCCAGAGCTCTTCCACATCATTGAAGAGCATTATGGTGATCTTCCGTCACCATAAATCAGCAGTAATCTTGATCATCCAGAGGTTTAGGTATTCAAAGTAGGGACCCAGCTGCCTAGAAGCCTGCAAATTATTATTCTGCCTATCTTGGGACCCAGCCCTACCTTATGCTTCAAAGACAGTTCTAGAAACACATCACCAGTATATTTGGACTAAATTTATTTCATAAGCTTACGACTCAAGATTACTAACCTGGTGATAACTAGCTAAATTTCACCTGACTCCCAAACAGGTAGCTCGTTATCATAACTATGCTCCTAACCCAAACGCTTCCCATGGAGTAACTGGATACATAGCTTGTGCTGTCTCTCATTGTACCTCCCCATGCAACGCGATATGCAGCAGAACATGCCTTGAATGCAAGGAGGTGGAGCAATTCAGCAACCCTTCCTCCTTTACACCCTGTTGCAGCTGATATTAAAAATGAAATTCCAAGCCACACTTTTAAGCACATGTGCACAAACCCAGAGGATTGCTAGGAGGTTGTCTGTTCACTGGAAATTTCCACTCAAAATACATATGCATGCCTAAAATTAAATTCTTGGGATTTGTTTTAAAGTTCTTTTAATTACTTTCCTCCTCCTATTTTTACTCTGCAAGTCTCCTTCAACTCTTAACTTACCCTAAAACTGTGTCTAAGTTAACAGTTTAGAACCAAAAGCTCTCTCAAACTCAACAACTATGCAAACAAGCATTTTTGATGTATGAAAGACCTATATGATCTAGAAGCTGTTTAAGTAATGTTGGAGCAAATGGCTCTTTTGCAGCATATTAACAAACGTCCAGTTTGAACAGGATGCAAAAAGTTCCTGGGATTTCACCTGCAGACTTGCAAACCAAGTCCATCAGCACCACAGCTGACAGCATGGTTGTCCAACACTCTATGCAAATTCAGCATCACTAAAATTCTGCATAGCGGTCTTGTACAAAGTGTATTTACTCCATGAAACATGCAATCTTTTACTTCTCAGTGTTAGGATTTTATACTGGTACTCAAACCCACAGTTTATGTATTCCTTCCACACAACATTAGTAGCAATAACCAAGTACAGTGAACTCTCTGGCTTTTTCGCTCTGCTCTAGATAAAAACTCAGTTTGTGCTACAAATTTTTATATAGACATCAATTATTCCTTTCTGGGTGATGCTGGCATCAACATCAACCCACAAGTTGCTTTCCAGCCTCTCATAAAATCATCTTGCTTCCTTTCAGTCAGTAACACAGATTCATACCCTGCTTTTATTGTGAACTAAAGGACTAATAAAATTCTGAAACTCAAAAATATAAAGATTTTAAAAAACTTAACTACATGCAACACAGAGGTAAGTTTAAAAACAAATACCTCAATATCAAACCACATGATTTTCACTATTTTACTACTTCTGAAAGTACTATGGTTTAAAAGAACAGTTCACAATAAATTAGCAGCACTAGAAGAAATAGAACAGTAATAATGTATTATTTCAACACAGAAAGTAATATTCTGAGTTGTCTTTGACAAACCACTTGTAGATGCATTTTCTTATATAAACTCAAGGGTATCTAAATGAATAAATATCATGACTTTGCAGAGTATCACATGAATAATAAGGTGCTAATAAGTGTTAGTATATATATTGAAATTTGGACTTTAATCTTATGTTTAATATTAAATCATAAACTATATCCTGAATCCACGTTCTTATTTATGTACAGCACTAAAAGTTCTCATGAAAATTTTAACCGCTACTATGTAAACGTGGCTAAGAGGCTAAAATAACCTCTACTATATTATGACATTAAGATACTGCTGTTACTCAAAATTTCTGACATAGAGAAATAGATTATAACTTTTACAATTGTTGCAATATCATGAAGCTAACTTGTTCCTTTACATTAGGACCCAGGTCAGAAGCACTCGAGGGCCACTAAAGCATGAATTACCTTTCCCATAATACACTATACACTACTGTCAAATAAATACATTGTAAGTAAGTGATAATTATATTTCCTAGTGTTGAACAAAAATCCCACAAGATTTCATTTATTTCACGCTCAGTTAATACATCTAGTAAAAAAGATTATACATATAATTTTCTTGAATATCAGAAAAAAAATCCAGAACATCATTTCCCTACTTCAAAACTCAAAAAAATCCTCACTGTTAGCACAAGGTTATTTCTTGACTGTAGCTTTGGACGTACTTTTAAAGCTTTTTATATTATTATTGTTTCTACTGCATGCACCTACAAGCACACACATATTCTTCTTGACTAAGAATTTATGATGATAGTTGGTGGCACATAGCTTGTATGCACTAACCTTTTACAGAACGCAAATAAAGCAAATTTTTTACATCTCAGTAGTGATTGAGTGCAGAAAATGACTTGTACATGGACAGCTCAGAGCAGAAGTTTGTTGTAAGATTCTGAATTATCTTCTATGACTAAGTATCAATATATTAACGGACACGATTGCTCTGCTAACGAACACTTTTGCAAACTGGAAATCTGAAAGCAACATCAGATAGGCTGCATTCACCCCTGTAACACCCTTAAAAGTAGTTAAACTGTCCCACACAGTAAAGAAGTACAGAGTAAAGAAAACGTACTGTTCCGCTTGCCTTCTTCATCAACCTCTTCATCGTTCTCAGGGTCAATGTCTTCTGCCTGTGTAATCCAATCTAAATATCCCTTCAAATCTTCTTCAAGCTGCTGTTTTTCACGTAGTTTCTGGAAGTCCCCTCGGGCCTTGGCTTTTTCTCTTTCCTTAGAAAATTCTCTATCAAATTCAGATAAAGCAGAAAAAAATACTGATTATCAAACTCCCAGGCATTTTGACTTAGGTCTTGACATTGCAGAATAACATACTGACATAGAAAATGAACTGAATAAACTACACCGAAGATTTGAGAGCTTCTTTGAAAACGAGACAGTGGTGCAAAGAAGTCATGGCAAATCCCTATCATTACATCAAAACTTTCAGAGCTTTTATGATGTAATTGAAAATTAAGCAGTATTCTTGACTCTTCCCATACTGGAAAAGTCCCCCCCCATTTAGTTATGTGCTCTTCTGTACAGATTTTAAAACCAGTTTTATCTAATAGCTAAGAAGAGAAATTGACTTGCTGTAGTGAAGTAATTTCAGAGAGGTGAGTATTAGTTTCAGTGAAAAGGAAATTCTGGCAGCCAGTTCTAAAATCCTTCCTCCTCCAACCATGGTTTATTGACTATGTCCAAACATACTTATTTTAGTGCGTGGTTCACAGAATTCCACTAATAAGCTCTCTCTTAATTACATCATGCACAGACACCTGTGCTGTTTGAGATCTGGATGTTTTGCCCTTTTGATCTCTGTAAAAGAACCTAGAAATCCTGTTCTCACAGATCAGAAATTCATCCTTTCATATAAATTGAATCCTCATTCTCATTGCCCCAGTCTCAAGATAATGTACTTGACTGTCTGTCTAGTTTAGCTTCTTGATTTGGGTCAATCCCTAAATTATCATGGAATGATAATTAAAATAATTGTCATGCTCTTTGAGAAGGAGGTTGGACACAATAGCCTACTGAAGTCTCTTCCAACCTGAGTTACCTCATGAATCTATGATTCCCTTAATGATATATGACTCGACAATTATCAAGTAACTTCTTGCACCACAGCATTTCATATGCCGACACTATTACAACATTTGGTGTGATGCACAGCTCCAAACGTGTAAATCCCTACGCTAGAAGGATCAAACATTTTCCGATTTATCTGAATATCAATATGTATGATTAGGGGTAGGCAAGCATCTTTTGAACTGTATTGTAACTACGTACTGATTTAGTATTTAAAATTAAGCTTGTTCTGACTCGTTAATCTTATGATAGAGTTGAAATTAAACCTAAAAAATGGTTATAGTAATTTCATTTACTATGAATTTGCAACCCCTTTATTTATTATGAACGTTCACTTGAAAATATTCCCTAATTAATACACTTTCAAGGGGAAATTAAAGCACTCAATAATATCCTTTTTCCAAAGGAAAAATATTAGCAAATTAGTGTAAGACTTGCAAAATATTTTAACAAGGTGAACACAATTATCAATGATGTTGCCCTGCTAACAAAATATAGCAGAATAATAGAAAGTCTCATATTTTTTCAACACAGTATTTCAGTTCGGTGACAGACATTACTTATTTGGAATTGCAAAGATATAATCCCTCCAGGTTTTTTTTGTTTTTATTGTTTTATTTGCAGTCTTCAAACCCATCTTCTAAACACCACATTTCTGCTTTGACATTGGTGAATTTAAGAGTTCAGCTCTTTACATGCAACCATACAGATTCTGTATTTTTTTTTAATGTTACGTTGCAGAAGCTGAAAAGCTTTCTACTGCAAAAGCTGAGAGGCAGGCACTACATCTTTTACAGTTGAGAACTTAATTCAACAAAGATTTGGTTTGGCATGTCGAGATCATCCTGTTCCATCTGATGGCACTGTAATGAAACTGAAGAATGCCCATGCTTGCTTTGCCTTTGCTATCCTTCACCTAGCATCCAAGGACCAAGTCCTTCAAAAGGCCATCTCTTCAGAAAAACGCTCATGAAAGAGAGAGAGCTCAACAAATCTCTCTGAGGAATAATTGCTTTTTAAAAAAAAAAAAAAAAAATATATTTCATTGTTTTGGCAGAAGATGTCACAAGCCTATAAGAAATTGTTCGGTTTATGGAATGCTGGGTTTAAGCTTCTCTCAGAGAAAGTATCAAAGAGACCGTCCTTTACATCTGATTGAGGCAACATATTTGTGACTCTCATTCCATAGGCAGTATCTTTGAAAAAAGAGCTATCATGGCATAGTATGAAATCAGAAGTAACAACCCTTGCTAGCTTTTACTAAGTATTGGTCCTTTGTTCAGTTAAGTCCTTCAGGTGTTTTTCATTAGGGTGAAGAATACGCGATCTGTGTGGGTAAAGTAAAATGAAAGCTGCTGTTATTAAATGATTTCTTTCACTTCACTCCATATAAAAATTAAACAGTTGGCAAGGCTGATACTTTCAACAGCACTTCACCCGTGACTGAACTACCTTTTAACTTTGACTTTACATTAAAATGGCTGCACGCAGAGAATTAAACACAGGGTTTTTTATATACACAGCCAACTATGACCTTTCCCTTTAATACAGCACAGAAGTCAGACATTGTCTTCTGTGCTGGTTTTGGCTGGGGTAGAGCTTCATAGAAGCTAGTATGAGGCTCTGTTGGATTTGTGCTGAAAACAGTGTTGGTAACACAGGGAGGTTTTAGTTACTGCTGAGCAGTGCTGACACAGAGTCAAGGCCTCTTCTGCTCCTCACCCCACCCCACCAGTGAGCAGGCTGGGGGTGCACAAGAAGCTGGGAGGGGACACAGCCGGGACAGCTGACCCCAACTGACCAAAGGGATATCCCACACCATAGGACGTCATGCTCAGCATATAAAGCTGGGGGAAGAGGAAGGAAGGGAGGGACGTTCAGAGTGATGGCGTTTGTCTTCCCAAGTAACTGTTATGTGTGATGGAGCCCTGCTTTCCTGGAGATGGCTGAACACCTGCCTGCCCATGGGGAGTGGTGAACAAATTCCTTGTTTTGCTTTACCTGTTAAACTGTCTTTATCTCAACCCACAAGCTCTCTCATATTTTTACTCTTCTGATTCTCTCCCCCATCCCACCAGGGGGGAGTGAGCAAGCAGCTAGGCTGTGGTTAGTTGCCAGCTGTAGTTAAACCACAACACTTTTAAATGCTGCTACAATTTATCAGTAGGGGGAGATACAATGGTGCTTAATTTCCATGATATTTAAAAGTTTTACTTTTATTTTTAAAACCTGACCTTGTAAGGAAGCATAATATCTGAGAAGACTGCATTTTCTTTAGGGGAGGGAGGAATCTGGCTCTATGGTATTTTTTTCTATCACAGTCACAATGAAGTTACATCCCTCAGACACACATATGTACGTATTCTTTTTACTGAAATACCATGAGTAAGAAAGTGGAATTAAATGGTATTGGAATGTAATAAGTTTCCTGTTAGCTAAACAAAAGCATTTTTTTCCAAGAAACAAGCTATTTGAAAAAGATGGGGTGAGATGAGGGAGAGACATTGGCTCTTTAAAGCTTGACAAAGACATTTAGACAACAAGATATTTGAATATTTAGACAGAGATATGTAGACATTGGCTGATCTCGTGGAAGGAGGAATAAGACAGCTGCTTGTGCAGCATTTCATGGCTATGGACAGCATAGGCTGGGTCCAGGGCAGAAAAAAGCTTTTGACTATGTAGGCAGCATACGTCCTGATGTGGTTAGACTAATGGCCTGAACTGGCCTCCCTGACTGTCATCAACCGAGTACTCAGTCCAGAAGCCTATGAAGTTGACAGGCTTAGGAAGTGGCACATTAATTGTGGTAAGTGGACTTAAGCTCTGTAAATATTTGGTTTCACAAATGCCTGTACTAAGAGCTAACTTCAAAATACATACTGCATTCTTGTTTGATAAAATGACCTAGATCTGGCATTTGAAAGTGTATATTTGGGGGGTGGGGTGTTGTTCATTGACTAAACTGACAAAAATTGTATTCAAAGGGCTGTTGTGACTATGCTAGGATTCATAAGGGTCTCTCCACTAAAATGTGATTTAAATCACTCTCCATCCAAGTTGCAGACTGAAAAATCCTGAGGAGCTACTCTGATTTGACACCAGCATATGTGAAATGAAAATCAGGCCTATTGCCTGTAAAATTTCAGTTTAAAAATATAACGGATTTAAGTATTCATAAAGCATAGGACTCAATGAACATATGTTTGTCCTAATTTCAACAACTAGAAAAAGCCAAGCTTACTACTGTCTCATATTTTAAAGGGTAATATTCTTCAAAACTAAGACTTTAGGCTAGCAGGGCTGGAAAGAGCTTTTTGCAAGACTCTACTTCTGAAGAATCTTATACGGCAGACCTGCATAAATTGTATGACACACCACCTTGTATAATACCTGTTAGCCTTCAAAAATATCTTTTCTTCAAAACAGTCTATTGCTACCTAGATGCAGGCAATTCAGTTTTTGATTTCATCACAAATGCAAATAAATCAGACGACCCAGCCCTAGCCAGCCTAATTTTGATCTAGTTAAGTATGACTAAAATTGCAGCATATGACAATACCCTGTAAACTGAGTAAAGCTTCAAATTGCAGCCATAGTGTAAATAACTCAGTCAATTGCACCTGCAGCAGAAAGGAGAGATCACTTGCAAAATAAAGCGTTATATGGAGACTCACCTACATAATCTAATCTACTTTTAGTGATAACTAAGCTACCATATAAAATGCAAGTTTGATTTTTATTGCCCAAAAATTCCTTGTCTCCTTGCAGAAAGACGATCTCAGTTCTCTGTTTAGGCACACCACCATCATCATCAATGGTTGTTGAGGCAGAAGCATGTAAAATGCAGGTTTTGAGTTCATGGTTCGATAGTCTGGGGCAATCATTTTCATGCCAGGTTTTTCTTTCTTTAACAGAGTGAAATAACTCCTGCTGGTATGCATCACCTGGGAATGGCTTGATGCGACAGGGTGGAGGTGGCAGCAGGGAGTAACTACTGGGACTCAATTACAGCTCTCTGGTTCTCAGACCTTAATTTGAGGCAGGGTCATATTAACCAAAAAAACCAAGACAACAATTTGCTTAAATGTGACTATCTGGTACACTCTCCCTTCTCTCTGTAATTCATGGACATAATAACTAAGACAACATCTATAC